CCCCACTGAACTGAGAGCACCACATGGGAACTAATACAGTGCCTGGAACAGAAGTGCTCAACAAATGGTAGCTATGAATATCCCACTCACATTTTTCTAAATTTTCTGATTGCCCTACTACCCTAGAAGAATCCTAACATTCTTGTTATTTTTTATTTATTTTTATTTTTTAGAGTGAGTCTTGCTGTTGTCACCCAGGCTAGACTGCAATGACACGATCTCGGCTCACTGCAACCTGTGCCTCCCGGGTTCAAGTGATTCTCCTGCCACAGCCTCCCAAGTAGCTGGGATTACAAGCACCCGCCACCATGCCTGGCTAATTTTTGTATTTTTAGTAGAGACGGGGTTTCACCATGTTGGCCAGGCTGGTCTCAAAGTCCTGGGCTCAAATAATCCTCCTGCCTCCACCTCCTAAAGTGCTGAGATTACAGGTGTGAGCCATCACACGGGGCCAACACTTATAAATACATGGAAAGGCATGGACTAAAACTGAATCAAGGAGGGCCTGATTTGACTGCTATTATATTTCATGGTGTGAGGAGACAACAGCTGCCTTCTCACCCAAGGCCCTGGGCTGGGAATATAGCAGTCAAGTCTGGCTGCCCAGGCAGAAGAGGCATCAGATACTCCCTGTTTCTCTTCCTCTAGGGTGGGTTTAGGTACTATACTCTTCTGTCTACCCTCAATTCAATATGGTTTATCTCACATGTTTGTTTTTCCCTATGCTTTTCTTAAGACAGACAGAATCTGTTTACAGATCACTAAAACCACGTTTCTGAGTAAATCACATAATAAATATAACCACCACCACCACAGTCATTTATTAAGTGCTTGCCAGGCACTGTGCTAAAGCTTTACACACATTGTTTCAGTTAATCCAACAACACCGAGGTAGATATATTCAACATGCCCCCCTCCACCCATGTCATTACAGTTGAGAAAACTGAGCTCAGAGAGGTTAAGTAAATCAACCAAGGTCAAACCCAACTGGTAAATAGTGAGGCTAGAAATTTGAACCAACTATATCTGACTCCAAAATCCACGCCTTCAAACACTATGCTAGAGTGTTTACCACTGAAAGTTAAAGGACACATGCTCCTTCCCAAAATACGAGAGAACAGATTTTAAGTGGGAAAGCGGGAGTGGGGGGAATATATATAATCAGCTAAGGGACTCAAACTCTTGGAGGAGTCAAGAGATAGTCTGGGTATAAGCTGACTACTGGGTCCTCTCGACCCTTCAGCTGCCAGTGCTTTCTCATTAAGAACTCCACTCCTGGCTGGGTGCGGTGGCTCACACCTGGAATCCCAGAACTTTGGAAGGCTGAGGCGGATCACCTAAGGTCGGGAGTTTGATACCAGCCTGACCAACATGGAGAAACCCCATTTCTACTAAAAATACAAAAATTAGCTGGGTGTGGTGGCGCATGCCTGTAATCCCAGCTACTTGGGAGGCTGAGGCAGGACAATCGCTTGAATCTGGGAGGCAGAGGTTACAGTGAGCCAAGATAGTGCCATTGCACTCCAGCCTGGGCAATAAGAGAGAAACTCCGTCTAAAGAAAACCAAAAGCCAAAAACCAAAAACCAGTACTCCACTCCTGACATCTGACTACACAATACACTGTTTCCCTTTCAGCAAGCACTGGGATGCAGAGGTCGGGCAAATTTGGTGACACAGAGCCAAAGACGCCTCAGAGAAATTAGGAGACACTCAAGTTCATCACCCCTGAACTGCTGGTCCCTAAGGCACACAGATGCATTTAGATGGAAACCCTCCATGAAGGGGACACATTACATATATCATGTGTGATGCCCATCACCACTCTGCAAAGGGGATGCTGGTATCTCCTTTTGATAGTTCAGTTCTTCCACACTAGCTTCCCAGGCCCAGCCCCATTCTCAGTAAGTCTCAACAACTCCTGCACCTCTCCCCTCAACTGGTCCTCTCCTACTCCCTAGGTGCCCTCCCCTAACCTATCTCCAGAGGTGTCACTGACCACAGGCTCCCAGGCCTCACCACTTCCCGAAGAAATGCCCTCAAAGTGCTCAGCAAGGCTCCATTCATCCATGACCTATGAGGATTAAACCGAGATGGCAAAAGATAAGCAGAAAGGCCTACCAGAGTGAGACAAGCTAAACCAGGATGTACAGAACTGACAACAGAAGGTCAAGAAGACATAGCAGACACAGAACAAGAGGGCTAGCCATGGGCAAAATAAACAGAGCTGTCAAAAATCAAAAAAAGGAGATGGCCCTAAGATGAACAGGGATGATCCCAGAGAGAGGGATCCTAAAGACAAATCTATTGAAACACTTGAAGCCACAGAGTTTCTGAGGGAAGAACAACTGTTTTGGAAACAGTCTCGGTGAGGAGGCTGCTGGAGAGATGAAGCAGGGGAGAGCTGAAGACGGGAAACTGCAAGCAGCTCTGGAGAGACACCAGACTTCCCTTCAGAGCTGGCAGTTTGAGAAGACATCAGTGAAGTGTGCAGGAAGTGGAGGACAAGCAGCTGGAGGTCTCAAGGCGGAGTAAGACACCAGCTGAAAGGCCAGGCCTCAAACCCTGGAGCTACTTCTAGGCACACCTCATCATCTACCCTATCTGGGTGAAACTGGTCCCTAAGGGTCAGTCCCTGCAGCCCTTGCTAAACGCTGTACCAGATTTTGAAGGGTGGAAGACTCAGGGGTAGGGAATCTACTGAGAGATGAGACACAGCTCCATTTTTGTAAAGTTCCCATTCCGAAAGAGAACCACCAACCCCTCCATTCCGTCATCCTTGAGGGATCCACTCATCTAAGGAACTCACTGTATTCAAGTCACAAAACTGAGGAATCGAATAGCAGTTAGTATACTGCCCTTGAAGTCTGAAAGGACAGCGGAAGGTGAAAGGTGACACAAAGACATGGGAGGAGCCAAGGTGGGTTGCTCTGCACCTTAAGACTCATCCTATTACTGAACCTCAGCACTGTTCACACATCTGGGCCAGAGGCCCGAGCCCTCCACACAGCCACAGCTGCACTGATGTGGGGTTGTGGGGACATCAACGTCAGCAGGAAGCCTAGAATAGAGGCCCTCTCAGGGGAGCCCAGAGGCTTTGAGGAGCCTGGAGGTAGAACTTTGCTCTCTACTGGTTTCCTCCTCTCTCAACAGTCCCTTATCTTGTCCACACACAGTGCACAATATACACGTGTGACCTTGTACCTTCTGGTTGCTTCATGTAATTTCTCCAACTAAGCAGAGGCTCCTGGGATTTGATAAGGATCAGATTTTCCTCATGCCCTGCAGTGCTAGAATGTAACAAATACTTGTCACAGGTGGGCTATCAGGGGTGCTATTACAGAAGCATTTTCCACAAATGGCAAATACATGTCAAAACTTTTTGTTATTCTTTGCCTTACAGCTTGTACTTGATACCTATCTACTTCTATCTTCGTTGGCTCATGCCCAAAGATGTTTGTTCCTATATCCATCTCAGGCTGGGGACTGGGTCCCTGGTCTTTGTTAAGAAATACAAATTCTGTCCACTTATGGCAATACTGAAAGAAGATGTAGCCGACTAGTCTCTGGGGGCAGAGGGAGGGAGTTGTCTCCCCACACTGGGCTGGCCCACTGATAAGGATCCTTCCCCTCTCTGTCTCCTAACAGATTCAGATTAATGATCGCTCATTCCTAATTGTCAAATTTCTTTTCCTTCATCCTGTGTCTAATCACCAGTGACAGAAACCATTACGCAAATGAGAGCAGACGACTTCCCCCAACTGTTCACGTTGGTAAAAACCTTGTAATTTAGAGCTCTGATTTGTAGGGGAAGCTGGTCTCCCCCAGGCATCCTGGGCATCTGCTCAACTGATGCCCAGAACAGCCCCTCCTCCAACCCCAGAACTCCAACCCCCTAACAAATACTTGACTTTACAAAACATGAGTTTTCTCTGTACCTGCTGGTGTGAATAGAGCAGGCTGTAACGTGGCTGACCTCTATACAGGTCCGAACCCCCATCTTCCCTTGCTGTTATTTGTGTACACCACACTGCCAGCTTGGATGGGGGTGAACAACTACAGCAGAAACGTTTCCTCTGTGGCAAGCAGAATTTAAGCCTAAACATCCCTAAACAAGGTAACTGAGGGGAAAACCTCATCCTTTCCTTGGGAGAAGTAGCAGCAGCTGAACACGAACCAAGACTCACATAGTGCCATCTAGAACTACAGCTTCAGTTCTATAGATGCAAAAGCATGCTGGGAGAAGTTATGGGTCCTATTCAAGGACACACAAGTAATGCAATTAGAGATAGAACTCAGTTCCCCCATAGCTGCTTCTAGCACTAATTCATAATACGGCTTCCCTGGCAGTTTTTCCAAGATGTTGTTAGTGGGAGCCTAGGAGAGCTTTTGCCCTGAGCTGTATATTCTGCACCATCTTGGGCTGGGTCTGCCTTCAGATACTGCCCAGTGCGGTGGTATCTGAGGACAGAACCTGTGGTACAAGGAGGGAGGCAAGGAAGGATAATCAACATAATTTGGTGGAAAGGAAGGAGCAGGAAACAGTGCTAAGTTACAACTGATTGTAACTCATCACCTAATCTCTCTGAGCCCATTTCTTCCTCTGTGAGAATACCTACCTTGCAGGATAGAGAGGAACAAGGATAAAAGCACTAGGCACATATTAGGTGTCTAAAAATGAGGGTCACTCTTGTATTACCCAAGGATCAAGACCAATCCTGTGAAGGTTCCAAGATTAGCCTTTTCCTTCCCTCCCCTTCAGCCACCTTAGGGGAGACCTGTGTGAGCACAGAACCCAGCGAGGACCGGCTGAGTGCACATCTCCTTGACACATCACCCACATCTTTGAGGGCTGAGCCAGGAATACAGCAGACCTCGGAGAACGACGATAATCTACTATCTTTCCAAGTGCGACTGTGGCCAAGCTTATCCTCCGTCTGCCTTGTTTTCTTTGCTGCACTCCTCTTTCCCAAAAGAAGTAGAGGGATAGAGATCACTACAATCACATTTCCCAGCATTGACTATATTTGAAAGAGCTACACTTGAGAAGGTACCATGTCTTCACATCCACACTGCATCAGAGAACCCCAGAATGAGGTACTAAAAATAAACACCCCTCCTCAAAAAACAAACTCAGGCATGCAAAAGCATACAAACACATCCTCTCAGTCCATCAGTGCACTATAAACTGAGCTTCGGGGTGAGAGCCAGAGCTCAGATGCTGGAAGTAAACCTTTGGCAAAAGAAAATAAAACCGGAGACCTTCCAACTCTTCTTCCCTTCCAGAGAGAAGGGGATGAAGACAGGAAGAGAGGTGAGGAGACACAGGGCCACCACAATGCCCAATCCCAGGGGCCCCACTCCTACTGAACAGATGTGAATGGTGGCCCTTCAAGTTGTGCAATCACAGCTGCCCACCTGTAAGCTGCGGCCCTGAGAGGGTGCCCATGAGAAGCTCCTAACAGAAAAGGAAATTCGACTTCCATGCTCTACCAGTTGCCCTGACTACTGAGGGTGTTGTGGCACATTAAATGGGGTCTGGCAGAGGCGCTGGCTTTAAGAGGCAAGGTATGTGTTTGCCCGTGCCCTGAGGTGGATCACAGGTAGTGAGTGAGCTGCCTGGGCTTGACCCCATTTCACTATTCAGCCAGGAAGCTCAGCAGGAGTAAAGGATATGGCCTGGGCAGGGAGCATCGTAGGGCCTGGAGGCTCTAGCCAGTCAGCCTCGGACAGGCTGCAGTGAGACCTGGCCAACATATGATGGCTAAAATCCAAGTGTAAAAGCTTAGGATAAGTCAGGCAGTACTTCCTGGGGGCTCACACTGTACTATCCCACTGGAAAAGGTAAACAGTGGAGACCCTTGGTAAGTAGGGAGGCTGGCCAGTGTGGATACACACACATACGCATACGCGCACGTGCACACACACACACACACACACACACACACACACACACACAGGCTTGCACCCCTAGGCAGGCCAGTGTGGATACATACACATATGAACACACACACACATTTGCACCCCCTAGAACCTAGACACACACACACACACACACACACACACACACACACACACAGGCCTGCACCCCCTAGAACCTAGAGAAGCCACAGCTAGGAGAACTCCCTTGGTACCCACCATAGGGGCAAGAGCTGGTGCTGAAAGAGAGTAATTGTATGTGTCTATAATTTGTAACTTATGCACAATCATTGGCTCTTATGTCCCAAGGTCCTTCTGTGTATGGCTTGAGCTTATAGGTCCCAGTTGGAACCCTATCTAATCCTCTCTCTCACAGGAAGGCTATCTAGGCTCTCAAGGGCAAGCCTCCCCTCTCACTCACCCCATTAGAGTCCCAGTAGCCATTCCCATACTGCCTAGAGCTTGACTATGCAAAAACTGTCAGGAGGCAGACTGCCCTAATAATAGTCAGACTAGCTCTGGCCCTGCAGCCCAGATGCAGTGGGGGTCCGAGAATCTCCTCTCTCTCTCAGGCTGAGGCACTGAGGCTGCAGGAGATAGGGCTGAGAGCCAGAAGTGACATCCTGACCCAGAAGGGAGGAACAGGAAACAGATACATACATGCGTGTGCATGCACACACATGCACACACATTCCGAGGTTGACAGACTAACATACACACAGACATGATGACAACCAAAAGCTGGGACTCCACACACTGAATGCAGGACTTTAGGCGGGGGGCAGAGAGAGAAGGTGCTGAGGCACAAGAGGCAAGGGTACGAAGTCCCTCCAAATAGGGGTGGAGTGCCAACTGCCCTGCCTCGCCCCAAACACCTGCCTCCTGGGCCATGGCAAGAGTCCAGTCCATTAAGTGCAGCGTGCAATACTAGCGCTTGGAGTCTCCTGTCCTCATCAATGAAGCGGTGTGGACGGGATAGCAGTCACCTGGCAGGAGGCCTTGACTCCTGGCAGGCTAGTTGTATCGGCCCTTGATCATTGTGTTCAACAAGGGCCCCACCTGTAAAGAGACATGAGGAGCGCATCAGAACTGTCTGTTCCCTGGCCCTGGAGTTAGACAGGGTATGTCTGGAGACATCAGATGTCCAGCCAACAACAGGCACAATGTTTTCATACAACCTTGTGAACCCTCTAATCACCCAACTTCCTGAAGGTCAACCCAGTATTGTGGGGCATAGCTCTTTCCTCATGGGTCCATCTTGTACTATTTCTCCCTCTCACAACATCCTGTCTCTTACTGAAGTCAGCCCCAAACTGACAGACATGGTAGAGGAACTAAAAATCCCCAAACACCCAAGAGTGTCTGCATGTTTTTCCAGAATGTTAACTGCCTCCATATCCTCAAAAAACAATCACCAGCAATTGGGGCTGATGCTGTCTTCTAACACCATAGGTATCTGTGGGTGCTGAGGTTAGCCACAAGAAGGAGGTAAGAGCCCTACAAATACCTCCCCCATGTACCCAATGGGCCACTGGCACACCTGTGTGGGAAGCAGGTCTCAACACTACCTACAGCAGCCTGGCACAGCTGGGAGAGTGCAAGGAAATGCTTTAGTGCTCGCTTCCTGTTCCAGAAGAATCCCCTCAGGGAGCCCCCAGATGGCACACAAGCCCCATGGGGAACATTAGCACTAGCATGGAACAAATTATAATTGATCCGCCAGTCAAGCCCAGCTATCACCAGAAAACAAGAATTTTTCTGAACATACTCATAACCTCTATGGAGAGAGAGGACACAGATACTGAAATACAAAAGCTATTATAAAGAATGTCACTCCAGTCCTGACTTTTCCTAGCCAACCCACCCACTGAGCCACTCTGGGGCAGTAACATACCTCTTGTGGGTTTCCCAAGGCCTCTCCAAGCATCTTCTCAATGTTTCTCATTATGGCCACTTTCTGATGAGCTTTGAGAGGATATTCAATTCTCTTAGGGGTAGGAGCCCCCTACAAAGGAAGCAGTAGCTCAGGAAATGCCTTTAGCAGCAGGCAGTAGTGTCACTCTACTGTTCTTAGTACCATCCTCCCTTCTAAGAAACCCAATTCTTGCTGGGTGCAGTGGCTTACATCTGTAATCCCAGCACTTTGGGAGGCCAAGGAGGGTGGATCACTTGAGGTCAGGTTCCAGAAGAGCCTGGCCAACATGGTGAAACCCCTTTCTTCTAAAAATACAAAAATGAGCCGGGCATGGTGGAGTGTGCCTGTGATCCCAGCTACTCAGGAGGCTGAGGCAGGAGAATCACTTGAACCCAGGAGGTGGGTAAGCCAAGATCGCGCCACTGCACTCCAGCCTGGGAGACAGAGCAAGACTCCGTCTCAAAAAATGTATCAAAAAAAAAAAAAAAGAAACCCAATTCAATCCTATGCCTCTTCATCTCCCCAGACACCTGGGAATCACTTCCAGGGATAGTCAACCATCCCATCCAAAATCATTTATTATACCTACCTCACCCAAGACCCAGTTCCATCTGGAAAAAAAACAAAAAAGCAAATCGTATTCACCTTATACCAGAAGTTCACAGTGATGGTAATCCCCCCATTTAGTAATGATTCTATATGATGCCACCTGCAAGAAAACAAACAGGCCCCCGTTTACTACTGATACTTTTGAGGGTGTGGCGCTGGGGCGGGCTGAAAAACAGGTAGAGGCCAGTTAAGGTGGATAGTGAAGATAGTATCTTTACACTCATCCTGTGAAAAAACACGCACTAGCGTTAGAGATAGTGGTGTTCAGTCTCTAAATACCAAAGAAACAAGAATAGTTTCTCTAGGCTCAAACCTCTGGATTCTCTTAGGACTTGAAGAATTGTAGTCCTGTTCTAGAGACAGGGGCAATCATTCGTCCCCCACCCCCGACCAGTTCAGTATGCTCACATCTGGATATGCCAACATTCCTATAGACCACATAAAACCAATCTTGCCATAACTCAGAAGGGACACAGACAAGGCTTTCCAGGGAATGGAAAAGAAAGCTCCCAAGAAGCCCCCAGCCCTAGCCCCCTTCTCACCAGTACATTGGGATGTAAAGAACATCACCAGGGCCAACCACTGTTTCGTAACCAACGACATTTTGGAAATTAGGGAATCTCTCGTAGTCAGGATTGTCAAAGTCCACCTAAGAAGTTCAAGAGAAAGAAAAAAAATATCAGTCAATCACCAAATCTTTATCAGTAAAACTATTATGTGCCAGTTTGGTAGTAAAAACCAATAAACAAAACGATGCCTTTTAAAAGTCTTTAGAATTTATATTCAGCAGAAGATATAATGCACATTAAACTCTGAGAGAGAACAATGTAAGACAGTCCACGTTTGAATGTTAAATGATAAAGAATTCTAGGCCTTCAGTGCTCCTGAAGTTGGAGGACCTAGCCCACAGCCCCAGGATATAAGGAATTATCCTCCACGCAAACCTTCAGAAACTTTCTCCCAAAAACATATTCTAACCAGTAAAGACTCCTACATGAAGTACCTAGACAGCTTTCTGAAGAAAGGAAAGGATAATTCTGGCTGGCCACAGACAATAACATACCTCACTTAAATCCAGGAAATATATTAAACAATATAGCTCAGTTTTATTCACCCTTTCCATATCAAAAAGAAACAGTATCCATGACAAAAGCAAACAATGATTAAATCCAATGGAAACATTTTGTTCCACGAACTTATAAGCCAATCAAACAGAGTAACCAGAGTCATCGGCATCAATGACAGGGTCTGGCTCGAGAATTAACTCTGTGGGGCTAGTTATACTTAAAAACATTCACTGGCCACTCCAGGGAGCCTGGATATGTGAGCTACACTGAAATTATCCTGGGTGTGACCAGCCTATAATCCAAACCTGGCCTATCACTACGGGGAAGGGGAAAGACATTCCAGCCTGGGCATTCCTACAATCTAGAGTTCTATATCCTTCTCAGACCACAAAAACTCACCTGGCTCTGTCTGTCACATGGGTGATGAACAGGGTATGGGTAGAGGCACTCAAACTGATCCGGAGGGAATAAGATGCATCGCTTGTGGCCTTTTATCTGAGCAAAAAAGTTCTGCTGCTCATCATAGTGAGCAGGCGTCACATTTCCTGTAAAAAGAAAAGCATTTTTTTATGCAGAACAGTGGTTCTACTGCACAAGCTGGAATACAGGACCCAGTGCTTGACAAAAACCCAGCCTGCCTTCTCAGCTAAGAGTTCCAAATCAAAATTTAGGCAGAAATCAGGGAAATTCCAATTACAACTCTCAGAAAATGAGATATTACACTTGTATGGTAATAAATCTAGCAAACATCAATGGTTAAGGGTCCACTATCAGCTAGCTAAGTCAACTTTCCTGAATGAAGGCTGCTGCCCTTACCGGAAGCAAGAGCACATCAAAATGACACTCGAAAATCTCGTAGGGTAATCAACTGTGTATATGTGTACTCTTCTTGACTATGGCAGGAATTCAAGGGAAGCAAAACAGAAATGACTGGTATCAACAACATATACACGAGGAGTTAACCAGCCATTCTAAGTTGTATGAGCTCTATATTTACTTTGGGTAGCCCTGAGGAACTCAAAGATTCTCAACCTTTCCTCCCACTTCAATACACCTAAGGGATGCAATAATTTTTTTTTTTTTTTTTTTTTTAAGAGACAGGGTTTTGCCATGTTACCCAGGCTGGTCTCAAACTCCTGGGCTCAAATGAACTGTCCGCCTCAGGCTCCCAAAGTGTTAGGATTACAGGCGTGAGCCACCACATCCAGCCAAGACAACACTTCTTAGAGCAACATGAGGCTCACTGGTACAAGTGATTTTCGTTGGAGGGAAGAATATCAGATGACTGAAAACAGTGTTGTATGATTTAAATCTGACAAATTATTTTACTATTATTAGTATTTTTTGAGACGGAGTTTTGCTCTTTGTTGCCCAAGCTGGAGTGCAGTGGTGCGATCTTGGCTCACTGCTACCTCCGTCTCCCAGGTTCAAGCAATTCTCCTGTGCCGGCCTCCCGAGTAGCTGGGACTACAGGCGCCCACCACCATGCCTGGCTAATTTTTGTATTTTTTTAGTAGGGATGGGGTTTCACCAGGTTGGCCAGGCTGCTCTCAAACTCCTGACCTCAGGTGATCCATCTGACTCGGCCTCTCAAAGTGCTGGGATTACGTGAGCCACCATGCCCTGTGGCACATTATTTTAAATGCCACCTTGAATTAGTTGTACTCTAGTGTATGTTCCATCTACTCCTTTATAACCAGGACCATGTCTGTTGTTTGGCCTTTGTACAGTCCATGAGTTGAACACAGGCTTTTCTGCAGGGCATGGAATTTAGAAAATATTCTGCAGCTCTGTCTAGGTATGCCAAGACAGATGCCTTCTTAAGTGATGAGAGACCACATGCAACCTCAAAGGAGAGCTGCTCTCTCATATCTACCTGAGGGATCCACTTCCACGCACCCTATCACAGAAAATGCAGCAACGGAAAGACTTAAGAGTCAAGCAAATCAGAACTGGCTCTTTCTTGGCAGGTCATCCAACAGTTGGTTTCAAAGGGGCAGGTAAGACCGGCCACAGTGGTTCACATCTGTAATCCCAACACTTTAGGAGGCCAAAGTGGGAGAATCACTTGAGCCCAGGAGTTCAAGACTAGTCTGGGCAAAATAGGAAGACCCCCCCATCTCTACAGAAAAATATTTTAAGAATTAGCCAGGAATGGTGGCTTACACCCATAGTCCCAGCTACCTGGAAGGCTGAAGTGAGAGGATCGTTTGAGACTGGGAGGTAAAGGCTGCAGTGAGCCCTGATCATGCTACTGTACTCCAGCCTGGATGACAGAGCAAGACACTGTCTCAATAAGAAAACAAAAACAAGGCCGGGCGCGGTGGCTCAAGCCTGTAATCCCAGCACTTTGGGAGGCCGAGGCGGGTGGATCACGAGGTCGAGAGATCGAGACCATCCTGGTCAACATGGTGAAACCCCATCTCTACTAAAAATACAAAAAATTAGCTGGGCATGGTGGCATGTGCCTGTAATCCCAGCTACTCAGGAGGCTGAGGCAGGAGAATTGCCTGAACCCAGGAGGCGGAGGTTGCGGTGAGCCGAGATCGCGCCATTGCACTCCAGCCTGGGTAACAAGAGCGAAACTCCGTCTCAAAAAAAAAAATAAAAAAAAAAATAAGTTTCCCCTCTTTTACTGGGATAAAAATTTTCTGAATACAAACAGATCTAGTAGAGAAAAGTGGTACAGTCACAGCCACATAATAACATTTTGGTCAACAACAGACTGCATCAACAACAGTGCTCCCATAAGATTATAATGGAGCAGCCCTGTACAGGTACCATTTTTTATCTTTTTTTGGCAATAAAAAAATTCCCAAAGTATCATTTTTTATCCTTATATTTTTTTATTTTGTCACCTTTTTCCTGCAGTGTTTGATACCATATTTTTACTATATCTTTTCTCTATTGAGCTACATTTAGATACACGAATACTTACCATTGTGTTATAACTACCTACAATATTCAGTACAGAAAAATGCTAACACCATTTAGCCTAGCTGTATAGCAGGCTACACAATCTAGGTTTGCATAACTACACGATGTTGCACAACGACGAAGTCACCTAACAATACATTTCTCAGAACATATCCCTGTCATTATGCGTCACATTACTGTAATTCAGAGAGGTTCCTATTATCTCAGCATATGCATGTACATACCAGCTGAGGAGGGGAAAAGGGAACGTTTTAGAATACATGAAATTAGCTTAAAGACTCGACATACATTATTTCATTTAATCTTCACAACTATTTACAAGACATTATCATGTTTCATTTCTTTCTTTTTTTTTTTTAAACACAGGGTCTCACTCTGTCACCCAGGCTGCAGTACAGTGGTGCCATCATAGTTCACTGCAGTCTCAAACTCCTGGCCTCAAGCAATGCTCCTGCCTTGGCCTCCCAAAGTGGTGGGATTACAGGCATGAGCTACCATGCCTGGCTCTATTATGTTTCTTTTACACATGAGTAGGCTGAGGTTTAAGAAAGTGAAGTGGCTTGTTCAAAGTCATGGAGCTAACAAGCGGGGGAGACAGGATTAGACATGAGGTTCAGGGCCGGGTGTGGATGCTCACGCCTGTAATCCCAGGACTTTGGGAGGCCAAGGCGGGTGGATCACAAGGTCAAGAGTTTGAAACCCGGATGACCAACATGGTGAAACCCCCATTACTACTAAAAAATACAAAAATGAGCCAGCCATGGTGGCACACGCCTGTAATCCCAGCTACTTAGGGGACTGAGGCAGGAGAATCGCTTGAACACAGGAGGCGGAGGTTGCAGTGAGCCAAGATCATACCATTGCACTCCAGCCTGGGTGACAGAGCGAGACACTGTCTCCAGGAAAAAAAAAAAAAAAAAAAAAAAAAAGAAATCAGGTTCATATGACTCCAAGCCATGCTGCTTTTGAAAGATTTCTTACCTTCCATGCCGATGAGCAGCAGGTTAGAGGTCAGCTGCCCCCAGCCACGCTTCCCCTGTTGCTTATTAATCCAGTTCCAGTTAAAACCCAAGAAGTCCATGACAATCTTCCTGCCCACAGTGTCATTGAGTGTTTGCTGCAGATACAACCTATGTTTCCCAAGAAGAAAATCCTATTAGTGCATGTACACACAGCCCTTGGCATGGCCTCCCCACATCTGAAAATGCAAACCCAAATCCATAGCAGCTTCTCCCACAAAGAACAGATGTAGTCATGCAAACCTCACCCAACATGGATTCTCATGGAACTGAATTCTTACTTTCCTTCACTGAGTTCTGTTCAACACCAAACTTTTTAATTTATTGTTTCTTTTTGTTAAAAAAACAGGCTCTCACTCTGTTGCCCAGGTTGGTCTTAAACTCTTGGGCTCAAGCAATCCTCCTGCTCTGCCTCCCAAAGTGCTGAGATTATAGGTGTGAGACACTGCATCGGGCCCCCAAACTTTTTCTTTAAGGAAGTGATGCTTAACCTTTTTTGGGTCACAGAATGACTCTTTCGAGAATACAAGGAGTAGGAGGGTGGTATGAAAACTAAAACTAAAAAAGAAAAAAAAAAAATCTCGAGAAGAAGTCCCAGCTACTCAGGAGGCTGAGATAGGAGAATCACTTGAATTTGGGAGGCAGAGGGTGCAGTGAGCCAGGATCGCACCACTGCACTCCAGTCTGGGTGACTAGAGCAAGACTCCATGTCAAAAAATGAATACACAAATAAATAAAAAGAATCCAGAGGTTCCCCATAAAAATGAGCATACATAGAGAACTTTCACACAATTTCAGATTCCTAGAAGTCTATCCATAGAACCTAGAATGATGAATCAAGTCTTCAGTCTTACTCCAGAGACTCGAAGAGCCTCAGACACCTCCTCTGGCCCTTGATGACCACTGTGGTAAATTGTATTACTGTTCACCAAGAGGTGGTTCCTTCAGTGTGGGAGTTTTCTTTCACATCCCCTTGAAGAGAGGCTTGCTAATTTAACCTGCTCTGGCCAAGGAAATGCCCACAGATGTGTTGTTTCCAACTGTAACTGAAGAACCAACCAGTCCACACTACCACATCTCTTTCCCTCTGCCACAGCAACCCAAAAGTTCCAGATAGTAGCCGCTAGGGCAATGTGAATGCCAGAGCGAGTAAGATGATAAAGAACAATATGACGTTAACCATGACGAACATGTAGTGATAAATAAGCCTCTGTTGTTTCTAGCCTCTGAGCTCTGGTTCTAAACCTAGTTTATCTTAACTAATTCCACCACCTATCCTGTTGCAGCCTTCTATAGCTGAATTAAGGAAGACAGCTTATTAGGTAAAGGCCTCAGGCTCCTAACATAACTGAGGAAGGTTGTAAGTCACTTAAGGGATATGAAAACCCAGAAACGCTTGAACAAGCCCACAAGTGACATTTATTAAATGTGCAAACCTGAAAAAAAGACAAAGGCATCTCTGTCCTGGTCCTGAGATCATTACTTCAAAAGACTCAAAGGCGTCAGGTGCACTGTCTCACACCTGTAATCCAGCACTTGGGGAGGCCAGGGGACGTACATTACCCGAGCTCAGGAGTTTGAGACCAGCCTAGGCAACATGGCAAAACCTGGTCTCTACCAAAAATACAAAAAATTAGCCAGGCATGGTGGTTGTAGCGCATGCCTGTGGTCCTTGCTACTTGGGAGGCTGAGGTGGGAGGATCAGTTGAGCCTGGGAGGTAAAAGTTGCAGTGAGCTGAGATCACACCACTGCACTCCAGCCTGAGTGACAGAGCAAGGCCATCACACACACAAAAAAAATTAAAAGGCATCTCACTGCCTAGAATTGCAATGTTTAAGGCACTGTTAATCAGAAAATCTTTTTTTTTTTTTTTTTGAGACAGAGTTTCACTTTATCACCCAGGCTGGAGTGCAGTGGTATAATCTTGGCTCACTGCAACCTCTGCTTCTTGAGTTCAAGTGATTCTCCTGCCTCAGCCTCCCAAGTACCTGAGACTACAGGTGTGCGCACCACCATGCTCAGCTAATTTTTATATTTTTAGTAGAGACTGGGTTTCACCATGTTGGCCAGGCTAGTCTCGAACTCCTGACCTCAGGTAATCTGACAGCTTCAGCCTCCCAAAGTGCTGAGATTACAGGTGTGAGCTGCCATGCCCAGCTTTAATAGGAAATCTTGGTAAGTCGGAAACACTACCTTTGTAGGAACGTGGAATCCTCAAGACTCAATGCAACTCTCCCCAAAGATAATAATATATATATATTCACAAAAAAATTATGCAAGTAACTTTGAAAGAATCAGTGATATTCTCCAAATATGAATGTAAACAATATTAGGATTACACCAGAATGGTAAATGCTCAAAATAGCTCAGAAGATCCTAATACATTTTACCCCATAATCACAACAACCTATCTAATCAATACAGTGAAGCTGATCAGTGCTACAGTCAGCTGATAGGGCAAAACTTGCAATCGATTAAAGAGTTTTCCTTGAAAACTCTTTAATCACCCCTAAGGTACAGATTACATTCACTTTTTTTTTGAGACGGAGTTTCGCTCTTGTTACCCAGGCTGGAGTGCAATGGCGCGATCTCGGCTCACCGCAACCTCCGCCTCCTGGGTTCAGGCAATTCTCCTGCCTTAGCCTCCTGAGTAGCTGGGATTATAGGCACGCGCCACCATGCCCAGCTAATTTTTTGTATTTTTAGTAGAGACGGGGTTTCACCATGTTGACCAGGTTGGTCTCGATCTCTCGACCTCATGATCCACCCGCCTCGGCCTCCCAAAGTGCTGGGATTACAGGCTTGAGCCACCGCGCCCGGCTTTTTTTTTTTTTTTTTTTTTTGGCGACGGAGTTTCGTTCTTGTTACCCAGGCTGGAGTGCAATGGCGCGATCTCGGCTCACCGCAACCTCCACCTCCTGGGTTCAGGCAATTCTCCTGCCTCAGCCTCCTGAGTAGCTGGGATTACAGGCACGCGCTACCACGCCCAGCTAATTTTTTGTATTTTTAGTAGAGACGGGATTTCACCATGTTGACCAGGATGGTCTCGATCTCTTGACCTCGTGATCCACCCGCCTCAGCCTCCCAAAGTGCTGGGATTACAGGCTTGAGCCACCGCGTCCGGCCTACATTCATTCTTAAGCAAAATGCTCTCACTACGGGAGGCAAGAAACTTCAAGTGACTGAAGAAACACAAAAGTCACATATCTTATGCTCATTCTAGGGTATATGTTCATTTAAAGGAATTACACACTCCACTGTATCATTTAAATCAATCTTTTTCTCAATGTTGGGTGTGTGTGTATGAAAGTATGCACCCATACACTGTTAAATTTGAGGAAATTAATGCATGAGTTAACAGAACTGAACCAATATATAAGACATCATGGACAGATCAATCACAGTTCATATCCTTGAAACTGTTCTGGTCAAAAATCCCATCATTATGACAACTGCTAAGTTTTAAGAAGAAAAAAAGATATTTCAAATCCATTCACTGGGCCACAGACTGCTGATAGGGAGTCAGGAACAGGAGTGAGTGTGGCAAGAGACTAGAGGGAAACCCAGGGTTGGACACCAAATGTGAGAGGGTCATTCACGGTGAAGTACTCAGCGAAAGCAATTCCCCAGAGGCAGTGTTATAGTGTGGGACCGAATATTATCTGGGACCTACATAAGAGCTGTCCTCATAAGCAGGAATAAGATCAGAGAGGAAGAATCACTTTCTTGTGTGTCTGGTGTTTCTGCTGCATTAGGAAAAAGTAACCTGATCTTCCCTAAGCTAGAGAATCCTGACCTTCTTTACTCCAAAATCACAACAAACCACACAACTTTTCAGGTTGAACTATCCCCAGTGATCACAATACTTAAGGACAATGGCTACAAACTGGCACTTTCAGAGCTAAATCCAGTGACAGACATTTTTGTTCGGCCCCCTGCAACTTTTTTTTTAAATCTAATTTAATTGCTCACATTTAAAAGTCAAAAGATTTTAAATAAAAATCCTGATTTTAAACTTCTTTAAAATCAGAATATCTCGCAACCCTAAAATTGCACTCCAAAACTGAAGCAAGCACAGTCAAGTAATGACTTCTCACTATGGTTTTGTTCTCTTTTTTTTTGTTTTTTGTTTTTGTTTGTTTGTTTGTTTTTTGAGACGGATTTTTGCTCGTTACCCAGGCTGGAGTGCAATGGCGCGATCTCGGCTCACCGCAACCTCCGCCTTCCGGGTTCAGGCAATTCTCCTGCCTCAGCCTCCCGAGTAGCCGGGATTACAGGCACGCCCCACCATGCCCAGCTAATTTTTTGTATTTTTAGTTGAGACGGGGTTTCACCATGTTGACCAGGATGGTCTCGATCTCTTGACCTTGTGATCCACCCGCCTCGGCCTCCCAAAGCGCTGGGATTACAGGCTTGAGCCACTGCGCCCGGCCCTCTCGTTTTTAATTTTGTAGAAACTAGCTCTCACGACGCTTCCCAGGCTGGTCTTCAACTCCTGGGCTCAAGCAATCCTCCCGCCTCGGCCTCCCAAAATGCTAGGATTACAGGCATGAGCCACCCCGCCCAGCCTTGACTTCTCTCTTTGAACACGACTTATCCCTTCAGCTTCATCACAGATTTCACCCAGACAATATTACTCCTTTCATTCACCTGCCTGACCCTTCTAGGCAACTAACTCTCACTTTATGAGGAAGGAGACGAGAAACCAGAGACTCATAGCTCAAGTTTAATCATTCCCTCATCCCTCAAGCTACAGAAATAACTGGCTGTAGCACCAAGAACCACGAAGAACTCAAATCCCTTACAAGCTTGAAGATCAGACTTCTCCTTCAATAGGAATCCAGAGATGGGAGGGGCCAATCTCTACTTCACCCAATTCTGCCACACCTTCAAACAAGTATAGGAAAGGAAAATGAGTGCCCTAAATCCAACAGAAAACTACGACTTGGGAGTTTACCTCTCTTCCCCTCCTCGCTGTTGTATATCCTGCAGTTTCTCAACAAACTCATGAAATTTCATTTCTTCCCTGTTGGACCTCGGCTTAAAGTTCTGGAAATTAGCCATCTTCTTCTCATCATAGTACAAGAACTTGTGGGTGCTGGCACTGTACACAGAGAAGTCTCCATTGCCAATATTCTCTTGCAAGTATTCAAGATCCCATTTCAAGGCAGGATACACAAGATTGGTGTCGGTCAGCACCACAGGCTCCTAAATGAAAACACCAGGTGAAAAACACCAAATGAAGTAATGCCAAGGAGCTGGTCGGTTCGCCTCCTAGACCCCATCTACTTCTCAGCTTCAGAGTAATTTCTCCCGTTAATCAGCACGAACCCCTCAAGTTCCAGATCTCCTCGCCTTTCTCTCCACCTTCCCACAGGCCGTAATCTAGAGCCCCGCCAGTCTCCCATCTCTTTCACCATTCGCCTCCGACCTCTCAACTGGACACCTTCCTCGACTCCCTCTAGACACGACCCCGCCCCCCACCTCATTCTCAATAAGCTCCTCGGCCCGGGGGTCGCTCTGACTCAGACGTGGGATGGGCCTAGTCGGGAAGCTATAACTGCGCAACTGGGATTCATCCCAAGCGGGGCCGAGGGCTCCGGCCTCCTCCCGGGGCTCTCCAGAGCCAGACGCCGCAGCCTCCGCCGCTGTCGCCGCCATCTCCGCCGCCAGGGACGGCCCCCGCCGGAACCGGAAACTCTGCCTATTCCGGACAAAAAAACACACACACAACGGAAATCATAGAGATGAGCTGCGAGAGAGAGCGGTCCAGAAACACAAAGAACGCGGAGCCGAGGCCTTGAGGGAGCGCCTCCTAATGGTAACATGCAGCTCTGCATCCTAGGCTCCACTCCTGAAGAAGTGGGGCTAAACACTCGTCCCACAGAATAGGGATGATCATCTGGTAGAGCAAAACACCAAAAAATGCTGCCCCAATGTGCCCACGTCTACACACGAGTCAAAGAAGGAAGCAAGTTCAGTTAGGCATTAAACTTTACACTCATGAATAGGGAGAAAAGCAAACTCTTGACCCACCTAAAGAAGTCAGAAGGATGTGTTCGGATCAAAGGAAAAAAAAAAAAAGTCAGAAGGAAAAGCAATGATCACATTGGTAGATGTAGGGCAAAGGCTGCCTGAAGGCCTAGGCAAAAGATAGACAGCAAGTTGAATTCTTCCAAAATCAAGGACAGCTTTCTTTTGTTTAGCATCATTTGATTTTCCTGCCTATATCACCAATGTAGAGTCAAACAATTATAAAAGGCCATATTGATTACCTCTATTGGTAACATTGGTTTCATGGCAAGCATATATTCAAGTAGGAGAAATGATTATATAGGCAGAAAAATCAAATTGATTTTATAATCGATATAGATTGTTTAAATCTATATCGATTATAAAAGGCCCTATTAATTACCTCTATTGCTTATTTGGACAGTTCTTCTGACTGGCTGTGAGAGGCCCAATTCTAAGATGTATCCCAAGATTTGTACCCTATGGCATACACAATTCTGTATACATTTATCCCCTTAGAAGAAAACACAACTGCGAATATGATGGAGTGTCACTCCTGTCATTAGGTTAGTTTATATGACAAAGATGTAATTAAAGCCCCTAACCAATTAACTTTAAGGTAATCAAAAAGGAGATGATTTATCCTGGTGGGCTTAATCTTATCACTCTAGCCCTTTACATCGGGGCTAGAGGTCAGAGACAAAATCTAAGAGATTTGAAACCACAGCACAGCTGTCCTGTTTGCCTTGAAGGAGCAAACTGCCATATGGCAGGAAATGGCAGGTGGACTCTAGGAGCTGAGAAAGGCTCATGGGTGACAGCCAACAAGAAAGTGGGCACCTTAATCCTACAAATGCAAGTAACCTGAATTCCGGCAGCAACCACTGAACTTGGGAAACGACACACGCAGGTCCTCAGATGAGATCACCAACCCGGCCAACGCTTTGATGTTAGCCTGAAAAGACCCTGAGCTGAGGACTCAGCCAACCAGTACCTGGACTCACGGAATATGTGAGAAAATAAATTGGTATTTTGGGCTGCTAAATTTATAGTGATTTGTTGTGCCGCAACAGAAACGAATGCACTGGCTTAACTATGTAAGTATGCTACATAGTAACCATGCTACATCAAACCAATAATAGGGCTACCTCTGTGGAAGGGTTTGGGGCTCTAGGTGACAATCAAGGCTTTCATTTTATCTGCAACGTTTGGTTTTTTTTTTTTTTTTTAATAGGGTCTTATTCTGCCACTCAGGCTGGAGTGCAGCGGTGTGATCTCAGTTCACTGCAACCTCCACCTTCCCAGCTCAAGCAATCCGCCTACCACAGCCCCCCAAGTAGCTGGGACTATAGGCACATGCCACCTGGCTAATTTTTTTTTTTTTTTTCTGTAGAGACAGGCTTTCACCACGTTGGCCAGGCTGAATGTTTGAATTTTTACAAGAATGTATTGATTCGTAACCTTGGGAATTAAAAGTAAATTAGGCCAGGCATTGTGGCTCATGCCTGTAATCCCAGGACTTTTCAAGGCCGAGGCAGGAGGATCACTTGAGCCTGGGTGTTCCAGACTAGCCTGGGCAACATAGCAAGACCTCGTCTCTACAAAAATTTTTTTTAATTAGCCTGGTGTGGTGGTGCATGCCTGTAGTCCCAGCTACTAGGGAGGCTGAGGTGGGAGAGGTGGGAGGATTGTTTGAGCCTGGGAGGTGGAGGCTGCAGTGAGCCATGATCATGCCACTGCACTCTAGCCTGGATGACAGAGCAAGACCTTTACTAAAAAATAATAATAATAAATTAAGATCAAGAAGATTCAAATAACTAAAATCAAGAATGAAACAGGGATATTACCCCAAACAAAAGGCGTATAAGGACATATTATGAACAATTGTGTGTCAAAAAATTAGAGAACCTAGATGAAATGGCCAAATTCCTAGAAAGGCACGAGTTATAACAGCTGATTCAAGAAGAAATAGAAAATCTGAATAGACCTGTAACAAGAGATTGAATTAGGAATCAAAAACATCCCATGAAGAAAAGCCCAGAAATTGGGCGCAGTGGCTTACTCCCAACACTTTGGGAGGCAGAGGCGAGCAAATCACTTGAGCCCAGAAGGTTTCGACCACACTGGGCAATATGGCGAAACTCAGTCTCTACCAAATCCCACCAGGCAAAAACAAAAACAAAAATAAAAACTAGCAGATATGGTGGCATGCCTGTAGTCCCAGCTATTTGGGAAGCTGAAGTGGGTCACCTGAGCCTAGGAGGTAGAGGTTACCATCCACCGAAATCATACCACTGCACTCTAGCCATTCGAGACAGAGTTAGGCCTTGTCTCAAAAGAAAAGAAAAGGCCAGGCACAGTGGCTTATACCTGTAATCCCAGCACTTTGGGAGGCCAAGGTGGGCAAATCACTTGAGGTCAGAAGTTCGAGACCAGCCTGGCCAACATGGTGAAACCCCCATCACTACCAAAAATACAAAAATTAGCCAGGCGTGATGGTGCATGTCTGTAGTCCCAGCTACTCTGGACGCTGAGGCAGGAGACTTGCTTGAACCCAGGAGGTGGAAGCCACAGTGAACTGAGATCATGCCACTGCACTGCAGCCTGGAGCAACAGAGCAAGACTTCATCTCAAAAGAAAAAGAAAAAGAAAAGCTCAAGACCAGATGGATTCACTGAAGTTCACCATATATTTTTTTAAAATTAACACTGGGCCAGGCATGCTGCTCACACCTATAATCCCAGCACTTTGGGAGGCTGAGATGGGTGGATTACTTGAGGTCAGGAGTTCGACCAATATGGTGAAACCCCATCTCTACTAAAAATACAAAATTAGCTGGGCGTGGCGGCACATGCCTGTAGTCCCAGCTACTTGGGAGGCTGGGGCAGGAGAATCACTTGAACCTGGGAGGCGGAGGTTGCAGTGATGTGAGATTGCACCATTGCACTCTAGCCTGGGTAACAAGAGCAAAACACCGTCTCAAAAAAAAAAAAAAAAAATTAACACCAATCCTTCATAAACTCTTCCAAAAAACAGAACATGTTTGAATTCATTCTATGAGGCCAGCATTATCGTGATATCAAAACAAGACTAAGACATCACAAGAAAACTATAAACTAGTATTTCTTATGAATATAGATGTAAAAATCCTAACAGTACACTAGCAAACTGAGTCTAACATCATATACAAATAATTAAATACCATGACCAAATGAGATTTATTCCAGGAATGCAAGGTCAGTTCAACATCTGAAAATGATCAATAAAACACACCATGTAGTGATCAATATTTTATTAATCATTTATAATCAACATAATACAATATATTAGTAAAAGAAAAAAACCCTACACGATCATCTCAACAGACACAGAAAAAGCTTTTGACAAACTCCAACACCCTTTCATGATAAACACAGGGTTCCAAATGACACTGTAAGAAAGTAAGAAAGACCTACAGTCAGAGAAAATATTTACAAATTGTGTATCTGATCAGGAAATTGTATTTAGAATACATAAAGAACTCTTACAACTCAACAATAAAAAGACAAACCAATTTAAAAATGAACAAATTGTTTGAACAGATATTCCTCCAAAGAAGACATACCATGGCCAATAAGCACATGGAAAGATGCTCAACATTATTAGTCATCAGCGTACTGCAAATGAAAACTGCAATGAAATACCATTCATTGGCACTCACATGGCAATAATAAAAAAAGACAATAACAGGTGTTGATAAAGATGTGGAGAAACTGGAACCCTCACACACTGCTAGTGGGGATGGAACATGTCACAGCTGCTTTGAAAAATAATTTGGCAGTTCTTCAGAAAGTTAAACCATAGAGTTACCCTATGACCCAGCAATTCTACTCCTAGGCATATAATCAAAAGGATAGAAAACGTATATCCAGACAAAAACGTATACAAAAATGTTCATAGCAGCATTATTTGCAATATTCAAATAAGCAAAACCAACTCAAATGTCCATTAACTGATAAGTGTATAAATAAAATGCTGTACTGTACGTTCATATAATGAAATATTATACAACCAAAAAAGGAATGACATACTGGTGTGTGCTATAACACAGACAAACTTTGAAAACATTATCCTAAGTGAAAGAAAATGGACACAAAAGGCCACATATTACATGATCCATTTATACTAACTACCCTGAATAGGCAATCCATTGAACTAAAGTAAATTAGCGGTTGCCAGCAGGTAGAAGTAGGGGTAATGTGCTAATGTGTATGGGCGTTTTTGGAAGCAATAGAAGTGTTTTAGAATTAGATAGTGATGATGATCGCACAACTTTGTAAATGTACTAAAAATTACTTTATTGTACACTTTAAAAGAGTGAATTTTTTTTTTTTTTTTTTTTTTTTTGAGACAGAGTCTTGCTCTGTTGCCCAGGCTGGAGTACAGTGGCGTGATCTCGGCTCATTGCAACCTCTGTCTCCTGTGTTCAGGTGATTCTCCTGCCTCAGCCTCCCGAGTAGCTGGGATTACAAGTATGCACCACCATGCCCAGCTAATTTTTTTCTTTTTAAAGATGGGGTTTCACCATGTTGGTCAGGCTAGTCTTGAACTCCCGACCTCAGGTGATCCGCTCGCCTTGGCCTCCAAAGTGCTTGGATTACAGGCGTGAGCTACCACGCCCGGCCACCCAGCTAATTTTTGTATTTTTTAGTAGGGATGGTGTTTGGCTGTGTTGGCCGGGCTGGT